TGGAAGAAACATTCAATCTTACTTTTGATGATTATTATGTCAAACAATCTGACAAACATTTTGAAAATCATCCAATATTACAAGAAAATCAAACTAAATCTGAAGATATACAATCATTGGACATTGATTATGATTTCATTTTTGGTAATTCAGATTATGCTGCAAATGCTAAAATCAATGCTCCTGATAATCAAGTCACTGAAGTTTCAAAACTAACTGATGACTCAACTTCATCTCCTCAGGAAATGGGTGAAAGTATGCATAATGATCCAGTGGAGGGGGAGCACTTGGAGTCAAATACTCTAATTGAGGGGGAGCATTCTTTCGAGGGGGATAATGAGAAAGCTAATGATGATGTTGAGTGGGAGAAATTAAATGATAATATTGAAGGGGAGTTAAATCAAAATGATGAAAATTATCATGATATTAATGATGTTTGTTCGATTGCAGGATCTGAAAATGAAGAAATGTACGAAGATGAACCTTTGGAATTCGATGCAGCCTATCCACCAATGGAAAAATGGACAAAAGATCATCCGAAGGAACAAATAATTGGTAATCCACAAGAAGGAGTTTTAACAAGAGCTCAAATTCATGCGAAGAAAGTGGTATTAAATGTTCTTCAAGAGTTTTGCATTTTCAACGTTTTTATCTCAAAAATTAAACCAAAAACAGTTAAGATTGCAATGAAACACTCAGATTGGGTTGTTGTGATGCAATCTGAATTGTCTGCATATGAACGAAATAATGTTTGGAGGTTAATTCCTAAGCCGAATGATGTTTCGATTGTCAGATTAATATGGATTTTCAAAAATAAAACCGACAAAGATGGAAATATTTTTCAAAACAAAGCTAGACTTGTTGTTAAAGGATATTCTCAACAAGAAGAATTGATTATGAAGAAACTTTTGCCCTTGTTGCAAGACTCGAGGCGATTCGTATATTTTTGGCTTATGCAACTCACAAAGATTTTGATGTATATCAATTGGATGTGAAATGTGCATTTCTAAATGGAGAACTCAAATAAATAGTTTATGTGGAACAACCTCTAGGTTTTGTAAACGAAGAACATCCTCATTATGTTTATATCTTATATAAGGAAGTATATGGGTTAAAACAAGCTCCACGAGCCTGGTATACAACTCTTACTTAATTTTTGAAGCAATCTAAATTTAAACAAGGATCAGTTGACCCAACATTACTCTGTAAGAAAGTTAGGAATCATCTGATGCTTGTTCAAATTTATGTTGATGACATTATTTTTGGCTTAACTGACCCTGTTTTGTCTAAAGAATTCGAAGACCTGATGAAGAGTAAATTCGAAATGAGCATGATGAGAAAAATTAATAATTTTCTTGCTTTAAATATTCATCAAAACAGAGAAGGAATTTTCATAAATCAAGAAAAATACACGAAGAATCTACTTGAAAAGTTTGGGATGATGAATAGCACAAAGTTACGAGTACTAATGGAAACCGACATAAAATTAACTCCTTCGTTAGATAATCCATCTGTTGACCTAACTCTATATAGGAGCATGATTGGATGTTTACTTTACTTAACAGAAAGTAGACCTGATATCATTTTTTCTGTGTGTAACTGTGCTAGGTATCAATCAAATCCTCGAGAACCACATCTCACTGCTATAAAGAATATCTTTCGTTATATCAAAGGAACATCTTCACTTGGCTTATGGTACCCTTTGAATACTGGATTCTTTATTCAAGCTTATTCAGATTCATATTTGGGAGGATGTAATATTGATAGGAAGAGCAGTAGTGGTGGATGTATGCACTTCACAGACAATCGAAAAAACAGACATGTGTTTCTATCTTAACGGCCGAAGCTGAATATGTTGCTGCTGTTGCATGCACTTCACAGATAATTTGGATTCAAAGTCAATTACGTGATTATGCAATTAATATGAAAAATATTCCTTTATATTGTGATTCACAAAGTGCAATAAGAATTTGTCATAATCATGTGCAGCATTTAATGACCAAACACATTGCTCTTCGTTATCACTTCATAAAAGATCATGTAGAGGATGGGAATATTGAAGTTCATTTTGTGAAAACAACTGATCAGTTGGCTGATATTTTCACGACAGCATTGGATGAAAAATCGTTTATGAGGATTCTGGAAGGACTTGGAATGGTTGATGGTAATTCAATTTCATGCGAAAAAGTAGATTGAAGGTTCAATAATGATAATTCACCGGCACGTCATCAACGGATAAGGTTACTGTTCATAAGTCACTCTTCGTATGCTTCGAATTCGTATGATTGGTATTTTTCATCACATTTTAAAACTTCGTAGGACTACAACAAGTACTTTCGTTTATTTTTATTGTTCTTTATTTTCGAAAAATCCAAAACATCAAAAGTATTTTCGTTTTGTTTTGTTCTTTATTTTCAAAAAAAACAAAAAACATCAAAAAGATTTTATTTCTTCTTTCTTTTGAGTACTTTGTTGTAGCTATTCTTGAAGATGTCAAGAGAAAAATGTTTGAAGATTCTAGGGTCAGGTATAAATTTCTAATCTTTGAATTTCAATTTTTTTTTAAAAAAAAAAACTAGTTAAGATGTCCCTAGAAGCATGCTGCTACATGTTGTCCGAAGCCTCGAATTGACTCAATGTTTGAAAGCCTTAATGAAAATTTTCATACGAAGATTTCTACCCAATAAGGCTTATATTCACGTTAGTCCAATGAGCTACCTTACTCTTCCCACATGAGTTAAGAGTTTTCTGTTTGGTCCAAATATAAAAAAGGTACACTTCGTATCTTCACCAATATTTTTCATCTAAAATTTCTTTCACGATCGCACACAAAGACATATGTCCAAGAGGTATTTGATCAAACCAATCGAGACTTAGACATATCAACAATTTTTGTTAATGGTCTAACATCATGAGACCGTGATGAAAGTGAAACCCTTATTTCTTGCAAATTAGGGAATTGACGGGAACTATGTTCCAGACATTACGAAACTTTTGTTTCAATACCTATTTTCAAAACTCCAAATCATATTCATTTCATATGAGTGATCTTGATCAAACATTCGAAACCCACGGTGTTTGTTATCCAACAAGATCCAAGACAAAAAAAAATTCATGAATATGATTTCCGTGTGAGTTTACTTCGAATCCGAAAGTTACATTTAATATTTTTCAAAGCACACTTATCACTGACTACACTGGTCAAACAAGTAATTTATGTTACAGTTACTCACCTTATGTTAAGGCTGATATGTAACGAAATTTGTATGCCACCCATTGAAACCTTGAAAAAGAAGCCATTCGATACTTATTTACAAGTATTCGATTGTAAGTCACGAGAAAATACACACGCTGTTGATTATCTCTCTTGATAATTAACGAAGCAACCTTTGCCCGGGGTTTATCTGCCTTCATGTCAAATTTTAGGTTTGACATCACTACATATCCAAAAAAATTGTTTTACTTTGCTTCTTCTCTTTATTATGTTGACCCACTACAATTATGAAATCCTTGAGGTTCTAAGTACCACCAACTCAGGCTGATGATTTCAAACATCTGGCATATGACTTCACTTTTCAACCCAAAAGTGAAAGAGACTAACTTCTATCCGAAGGGGTTCTGACGGTTACAATTCCATTGAGTCAATATATACAGGCTGTTTAAGGAGACGTTTTATATTACTTCCGGTTTTCAAGGCGATGTGACAGTTATTTTTTGACGCATGGTTACTCTATCATCATCAAGATGCGCTTTTCTCGGTGACACGTCAGCAAGCATTAAATGCATATCCCGCTTTGATTTCAAATTGCAGAGTTACATATAAAAGGGGATTCAAGGGTTCATTATCAGTTTACGCTTACATCTTACTAAGGTTTCTTTGATAATCATCTGCTTTCAAACCCTAAAAATGGCGACTGTAAATCCTGATGCTACTCTTTCTCATACAACTGATGATGTTACTTTTCTACCAATCATGAAGATTTAGGGTACTAATTACCAGGTTGAATCAAATGTTTCTCTGTATCCTGGAGAATTGAAAATGCTGGTGGTTGCTCTGCAAGACTCGTTATTATTGAAGACCATGTTCAAATCATTCTCTGTTCCTCTTTTTTGGTTATCTCAAGCCGGTTCAACTGCAACATATTCAAAAGCTTTGGAAGCTATTATATTCAACCTCATCAATGATAAAAAGGTTAGGTTATCAAAGAAGCTTTTCTGCCAAATCCTTTCCATACTGAATTGACCACCATATGTTACTTTTACCTTTCCACAAATCGTACACATGTTCAATGAACTGGGACATCAACCACAATTGACAAAGATAAGTGACTTCAAGAAGTCAGGGTTACCAAGTGTATGGAATTTTCTATTTGGGTTATTTCTTTGGTGTTTAACTGGCAGAATGGTTGGGCTCGATAAGGGGAGAATGCAGGTGTACGCCATGGTTGTTGGGCTATACTATGATATTCAGGTTGATTACTCAACACAATTGTGGAAGGAGTTTCAGAAAAGTATCGAAAACACGAATGTTATTCATGGCATTTCGTGTGCTCGATATTGGAGTCTAATTTTGCAACATTTATATGTAAAAGAAGGTATTTTAGTTCCAGCGGAAGAGGAGAAAGCTGTGTTTCACACTTACAATTGTCCAAAGGATGCAACAGATGATTTAGATGTATTTCCGTTTGCTGCTCGTATCCCTGACGCCATGTTAAAAATGATTGATCCTTCAAACCCAGTCTTGGTTTCTTACTTAGAATCCATAGATACTTCTGTGGAAAATGGGATTCTCTTACAACTGAAAACTCAAAAAAAAGTCAAAGAAGGCGAAGAAGACTGATCATGGGTCTTCGGGTACAAGGGTTACGACATCAAAGAGTACGAAGCATGTTCCTGTGATCGAACCTGAGCCAATTTAGCCGGAGCCTATTATTCCTGATACCCAGGTGACTGAAAAAGAAGTTGTTCCTTCAAATACTGGTGTATTAAGATGAATCAAGATGAATTCGAAGCACAAGCATCGATCATCTAGTACGAAAGATGTTCGTAAACCCCAAGTTTCTCATCGAGGGGTGATTTTTAGAGAAATACCTGCCCTTACTTCTCCTTCTTTGAAAAATCGATTGGCTGCTGATATGGAAAAACAACTCTCCAAGAAGAAAAATTATCGGGTGATTCTTACATCTGAAGCTACTGCAGATGAGGGTGAAACTATTCCTGAGACACCTGAGGCAAATTTTCTTAAAGATTCTTCTCATGTGGATATATCTGTTATTACACCACCCGAAGTTTCGCTAGCCAAGACAGTTATTGTGGAGGCTCGAACTTCTGACATCACTTTAAACATATCTGATATGGATACAAATGTCATCATGGGTGACGACGATTTGAATAAAGTAAGAAAAGGTAACCCTTCGAATGTGGTTTCAGATTCTTTCATTTCTTTACCTTCACTGATTACCCCTATCATTCCTGCCACATCCACAACAGATTCTCCAAATTTTGCAAACATTATTTCACAACCTTGTACCACTCTTTTTCCTTCACAATCAACTGATCCACAAACCAGTACCTCTCCAATAAAAGATTCAGTCATGGATACTGAAAATGAATTTGAATGTTTTGGGGGAACTTTTGAGAATCTAGAATTTAACGAGGAGGAAACTGAATTCCCGGATCATATGCTCATGACGATGAAACAATTCAAGATCTTGAATACGAAGCTTAACTCTATTATTCAATCTCAATCTGATCTTGGGGGAGGTCATTCTGTGTCTAGCCTTGAAGTTCATGGCATGTTGTCCTTACTTGAATGGAGATTAACCACCAAAGTATCTGGAATGGTAAAAGATTCAGAGTCTAGGTTATTGGAGAAGATTGATCATTCTAATCCCAATGATGAGTTAAGAGTGAATTCTCAGAAGTCTGGGTTTGCATCTGCCTTGAAAGATTTGAAGGCATTTGCAAAAGAGAGGCATGTAATTTTTGTTCGGGATGTCAAGAAGGTGAGAGAAGATGAAAATTTCAATATTCAAAAGTTAAGAGAAGATATGGAGAAAGAATTTTTGTTGTTCGAACGAAGTTTGTTTCCATCAACAAGAAGGTGGACATTACTTGTGAGGCAGTAACGAAGTTTGCAAAGTTGTACAAAAATATGAGCCCTCAACTATCTCAGCTTTCAACCAATGACAATAAAAAATTCATGGAGGTGTTCACACTTTTGAAAGAGCTTAAAAGTCTATCTTCCAAGTCTACTGCGTCTGTGCTATCTTCGAAAGATCTGATCCAGAAATTTTCTAAGTTTAAAGAGTTACTTATCTAACACCTAGCTCCTCTATCACGCATCTCCAGTCTTCTTCCAACTACATATGCCCCACCTGCTAGCACAGGGGTGCAAGGGGGAGAAAAATTATCTGCAGGGTCGAAGACTGGAGGAAGAGATTTGAAAATGGTGGGGAAGTTTTACTCTTCGAAAATCCCAACAACAAAACCATTAATGGCAACAGCTGGTCCAATCACCTCGACGGTTTTAACAACAGTACCAATTACTAAACCGAAAGTAATAGTGATTGGTAAATGTCACACCCCGGAACCAAAGGCGGAAACGTTCCGGGGCGGACGACATCATGAATATCGCAACCAATGTACATAGTAAGCAAAGTAAACAACCATTACATTACAGTACATATTGAGATTTACATTTGTTCAAAAGTAAAGTTGTACAGTGTTATACATGTGTATATATAAACAAAAGCAGACGTGTCTTCGATGCACTCCGTCTTCAGCAAAAAGGGTCATCGGGTACCTGTCTAATGCGGACCTAAGAATACAAGCAGTGTGAAAATCAGCATAAAGTTGGTGAGTTCATAAGCGGTTTTGTTTTCTAAAAATGTACGAGTATCCTTTTAGTTTCTGAAAATGTTACGACCCAAGAAAATCCCATATTTTCTTAAAAGTAATGTTTGGTTAACTGTTATATTGTACGGTTCTAATTACGTTCAATTGTTATCCCATGAAAATCCTATATTTTCCTAAAGTGTTTGTGAAGTGTTTTCGAACCTGAAAGTAATGTACAAGTATCTACCATACTTAAAGTGTGTGTGTGTGAAGTTTCCTGAAAGTTTCGTTACCTTTAAGTGTACATTAGTTTTACGACATATATAAAACTAATAACTAAGTATAAAGTTTTCATAATCTTGATTGCGAGTTCCATAACCATACTACAGACTAGATATTACTCGAGACGTGGCCAATATCTTCTATGACTTTTGTCACCCTTGAACCTTTCGGTTCAGCTGTAGCTAGCAGCCAGGTGCGGAATAGTCAGTCCCGTATAGATCTATACACTCAAGTCACGCTCTCCCCTTTTCGGAGATTATGGTTACGGGGGCAGTCCTCCACTTTCGTGCCTAGGAAGTGTTGCAAAGGATGTGTCTCCAATCTTAAGATTCATGAATTTAAAACTAAAATTATCAATAAGGAAATCCTGTTCTATTGGTGCTTTACTCTCGTATCTATGGGGAGTACTAACTAGGACCTGACTAAGTTCTAATGATACCTGTCCTTCACAATCGTGTCTAGGGGTGTTTTATTAAGGATAATACGAAAGTTCTATCTACTATCCTCCACTCGCGTATCTCTATGGGGTGTTACCGAGGACAAAACAACATATTTAGATTCCTGTTCAAAGTTTAAAGGTTGTGTTTTTAACTATTGTAATGAGGAAAATCATTTGTGAAAATATAAACATGACAATTTATAACGTTTTTCACAAATTATATGATAATGTGATCTGCAAGTTCAAACAGCTATCTGCTATGATATGTCAGTGTTAAAAACATATGTAATATGAAACACAATACTTATAAAACAAGTTTTGAGTACATGTATTACTTGTACTTTGCTTGTATTCCCCCCCCCCCCCTTGAAAACAGTGAAAAACATTGAAAAATGGTAGGGGTATGAACTCACCAGGCGAGAAAACATGACGGTTTGGACGCTATGAGTCGGTTCGGGGCTTGATAACGCGCGAGGTTCCTATGTAATATGAAATGATATACAAATATATCTAATTACATTTTAAACTACTAATTAGATATGAATATACACTCCAATGAGCGAAAACACTTCAAATCAAGTGTTTGGAGTGACCCGGGTGACATCTACGAACGTGTGGGACTTGGGAATTGAGTTTACACTTCAAGAGTAAACTCCTTATGGATTTTTCGGCCCTAAGACCATAACCACATGATTTCATGGCCGTGAACTTGTGGTTGGGGGTTTTATGGTGCTAAATGGCATGCTAACACTTGGGAAAATTAGCTAGGTTTAATTCTAGGGCCTTGGAATGGATTGAATTGACTTAAGTACCATTTATTGGAGTTTACAGCAGTAAACATGGAGTTTACGGCCGTAAACTCCCCCATGCTCAATCCTTAATTTATTTGGTGATGCTAGAACAATCACATGTGATTTAAACTATTTTTCCAAGCCTTGGGATGAATTTTAGGCACCATTTGACCTATGAAAAGGAGTTTATGGCCCTGGAACTTGTTCTTGGGGATTCATGGCCGTAAACACCCAAATGGAAGGATTTGATCGTGTTTAAGGCCCTTAAATTGATTTTGGTTGGTTCTAGAATTTATTCCAAGGATAATGGTGTGTTTACATGGCTTTTCAACACTTGAAAATGAGTTTACCACCCATGAATGATGAGTTTACAGCCCAAGCATGTTCTTGGGTAGTAAACTCATGTTTACTCCTCAAAATTCATGTTTAGGGTATTCTAAGTCTGAATTCGTAAGCCATAAAGTCATATCTAAGTCCCAAAGTTGGTTTGGAGGGGTTGGAAGGCATAAAAACCCTCTTATTAGGTGTTTACGACCCAAGCATGCTCCTTGTTTGTAAACTCATGTTTGAGGTCCAAAATCAAAGTTTAAATTCGGATTTGAAGGCTAAGGAGGTTGAATAACAAGTTAGGGAAGTTACCTCAAGGATTTGGAGCCTTAAATCAATAATTTTGCACCTTGAATATGGATTGAGGAGAGAGGTTAGAGAGAGAGAGTAGTGAGAGAGGGAAAAAGCTTCAAATGGAAGCTTAATCATCTTTAAATAGTGTCTAAGATTTGTACACGGTGAAATTCTACCCGATACCGACGTTAGACGTGGCTTTTGGTCACACTCGATCAAGTTGCCGTAACCTGATATGGTTGATTCTAAAAAAATTTCGATTACTAGAATGCGGTGCTAAAATGAGTTCTAAATGCGTTGGGACACTCATTAAGTCATAATAGTAACTTCAAATTAATGACATGATTTAATTTCGAAATTGGAAACGAATTGCTAAAAACGGGTCTGACAGACGAATTGGGTTTCAGCGATGGATAACTTCGGGTTGTTACATTATCCCCCCGTTAGAGGGAATTTCATCCCGAAATTCAAACCCTAAATACGACTCAAGGATTTCGAAAGAGATACGGATACTTCGATTTCACCGGATCTTTACGCTCCCAAATGAACTCGTGTCTTCGTATGGCATTCCGGCGAACCTTCGTTATCGGGATACGGTTTTGGTCACATCGAACGGATTACTAAGGTTTCTTCGGGTAGGCACTTCTTATGCATAACGATGTGGAATACCGGATGGTTGCTGCTAAGCTCTGAAGGTAGTCGAAGTTTGAAGGTTATGGAATCGATACTAACGAGGATATCGAAGGGTCTAATGTACCACAGGTTAAGTTTTCTGCGCTTTCCAAAGCATACCATGTCTTTCCAAACTAAGACCTCCTACAAAAGGGTACATCTTCCGATGTCAAAATGTTTATGGTTTTGGTGATTCCAGAAAAATTCTGGATGAACCTACAATAGAAGTCAGTGAGACCCAAGAATTGATGGGTTTGTGTGGGTATTTTCGGTGCCGACTGATTCCAAGGAAATTGGGTTGACTGATGGAAATCACCATGAACTTATAGTGATCATATCGAGTTTGGCATACTATCTATGGTACATCACTCTCATGGATTTGTAGTTGTCGGTACCTTGACTTAAAGTTTATCTTTGAGAAGTGGCCGGTTCTCTGAAGTGGATCGAAAATGTCATCTATTCTAGGAAAAAGTATATCGGTTTTGACAGTCGTTTTGACTACTAAAATAGTTCCAGGAATTTGGTTGATGCGAAATTCAACCTGAGGTTCAGAAATAATTCTCGGGAGCTCTATAGGAATACATCAGGACAGTCACAGACTGCAGGGACGTTCTTGAAATTTCTAACTTCCCTTTTCCCACGGATCACATGGGCTAGGAATGCATGACACTCCTTTGGGGGAAAACTCTTGAGTTTTGATGCACGAAATGATACAAAGGTCTGAACCGAATCTATCGCTGTAGATCACGAGGGTCTGACTAGAGAGGAGATTGGAATGGATGGTTTTTCAATACTAGGGTATCAGCACGATTGGGACTCAATCAGTCTGTGTCACAGATAACGCCAAAAGTATTTATGGAAACTAACATAGGATCTATGGATGAAGAGTGATTGTTCAGAGGAAAGGTACACCCTATGGATGTACTGATAAAGTTCTCTTTCCTACTGTCAGTCATCTCGATGGTCATTGTTTCATTTACTAGTGAAGGGCTAAGATTAAGAAGATGTTTGAATGAATAGTTAATAGATTTTCTTTTAGCACTAGTATTGAAAAGGATTGCAAGCATAAGAGTTGTTGAGGAGGAGTATACCTGATGCGATGGTGGGACCAGAGGCTGCCTCCTCTCGTCCTATTACTAGAACTCTTCCGGTGTTTCCAGCCATTGCAGTCTTGGGGCAGTTTCGCTTGTAAAGCCCTACTTCTCTGCAACCATAGTAGGCCTGACCAATGCCCGCTCCGGGAGTTTGATTGATTGATTGAGTTGGTGTCTTGCAATTCTTTGCAGTGTGACCCTTTATGCCACAACTGTTGCAGAACACTTCTATACATGGGTTGGAAGTGAGGTGATGATAGTTGCACTTGTCACAACTAGGGAGGGTTCCAGCATACCTACTGGTAGGTTTTCGAGCTGAGGATCTAGCAACAGAGACAGTTGTAGGGGTAGTCGCAGCGTGAACTGCCACAGTTTGCTGCCTCTTCGAAGACTCCTGCGATATCTGACTTTCCTTCTTCTTCCTAATTTTTCTTTTCTTGCCACTCCTCTCTGTCAGTTCATGAGTGGTAGCTGCTTCTTCAAAGTCATCACTATGGTCTATTAAGATTCATGCTAAACATTTTGCGTTGTCGTATGTGTCTGGTCTCGCAGCTATGACGTTCCTTTTTGTTCGTTGGGTTAGTCC